TTTTAGATATTCCACCATATTTTAGATATTCCACCATATTTTAGATATTCCACCATATTTTAGATATTCCACCATATTTTAGATATTCCACCATATTTTAGACTATTCTTTCATATTTTTTACCTTTGTATAATATTAGACGATTGTGACTTATTTTTGATTTTTCTCAGATTCTTGTTACACTTTGAACTATTATACATGTATTATAATTTAGATTATTTTAGACTATTATCATATTTTACATTTTTTGTGTCATATTTTATAATAAAGTATTACACAGTTATAACAGATTGATACATGAGCTTCTAAGGGTACAATAAACCTCATTTCTTTACAAGCAGCACATGCCGCTTAGATACAAACACACAAATATTAGAGGTGGTTTCTATAATTTCATTGCACTTGAATCCATATCTAGTAAACTCCATCAAAATTTTAATATTCAAAATGAGTACTTAAACTTTCCTGGACACAAGGTTTTTGAAAATAAATTCATTCAGTACGTACAGATTAATAAATAATCTTAAATTGAATAGTCTTGGATTAATATTCAGCAACAACTTGCAGGAAGAAATACAAAGACATATGAGATTATATATTAAAACCTTACATGTATGAAATGTGTCTAGACTGCGTAAAGTAAAGCTAGCATAGTTACAAGTTGTTTGAAATTCACTGCAATATTCTGTGGTTACTGCTTGTTACACTATGAGCATGATAATATAATTACATTGCAAACACATGATAGTGACTTGGTGTTTATACTCCACAGTAGAAGCCCTAACCACAAAACAACTGCTGTTGAATTTCAAGCTAGTCGGTTGTGTAATTGTATATTTTTCTTGCGAAGAGGAATCTGAAATTTTTGGCAGTGTGGAGTTGTTTGGTTTTTTATTTACAAGCAAAGCACTGAACCATATTGTCTCTATCTTAAGTAGTGATATTAAAGTAAATATTGGGGACTGTTTCAGCAGTAGTAAGTCATTCAAAACTGGATAATGCGATTGAAGCATGACAAATATTTTTAAGCAAAATTAATCTATAATTCAGTATTTAATTCCAAATACATGTATTTAATATAATTTCATTTGAATTTAATTGAAATTGAATTAAATTAAATTATTAATTATTTCTAAATTTTATACAAACTTATTTTAAATATAAATTTTATATAAAAAGTCAAAACACTAAAAAAACTATGTTCAAGATCTTCCCTCTACAGAGTTTTCCTCCAATACAATAAATTAATTATTCACTGGGTTTTATTTGCGCTATTTTCACTGATAAAGTAAAATTCGCTAAATTTTATCTACCCGGTATGTAAAATAACAATAAACTCATTGTTTCCTTGACAATTCACAGTGAATATGCTCAGAATTTCAAAATAGTGAAATTAATAAATGTCAGTGAGCACTGAGTACCCCCACACTATACTTGACTGTACACTGTACTTGAAATAAAATAAATATGGTACAACTGCCATTTGCAGTCACAGACTGCCTTGTGTTAGCTCTAAGTCATTGAACCGATTACACACAAGTAAATGTTCAAATGTCTAATTTGAATCGCACACATTAGCTTACTGATTTATAGTTACCAAATCATTCCATGAAATTCATTATTTGGATCACTGCATTTATATTTCCTGTGTTTCTTGTAGACAACTACTAAAATATCTATTTTTAGAATCACTCATCATACTATACCTACCTCCCTGTATTGACCATTTTTACATTTAGTCCTTATAACCATGACTTTTAACTCTGTTCCCCAATATAGATTTCCTTAAAATAATACTATGATGTTATCACAAGCATACCACAAGGTATGCATGAAGGCAGTACAGTGATTGTATTGACAGACACATATCGTTACAGTACTGTCTGAGTGCATACTTTGCGGTATCCTCATGACAACCTTATCATTTTTTTTTACTGCTTTTAGTAATAATTTAAGAAGAAAACAGCCAGAAATAGCAACGAAAAACATTTTTTGTTTTGCAAACGTTTGTGTTCAGTGACGAATGTGATGCACAATTTCTAAATAAGGAAGACATACAATTTTAATGCATCCATAGCACTTACAAACATGTTTGTTTGGCCGTGTACAGATGGGTAAATTTTATTGTTTCAGTATCAGATGTATAATAATAATTTTTATTGGACTTGTACAATGTACATGCATACTCAGTGGAACTTTGTTTGCGTAACAATTAAGTAAAGTAACAAAGAACTACATGTCATTTCAACAAAAAGGCAAAAACAAAGGAATTTAATAATTATTTGTTTATATCTGCTTCTATAGGAGAAGGCATATATGGTACCCAATTAAATCATTTCAACAAAAGTCAAATAAAGCTTTTCCTTACACAATCACATACGATTTTCATGGGAATGGTTATGGATGATGAGCTTCAGTGAAGCAGTACGAATTAGGAAATTGGTGAAATTGGTATATATTTGAAATCACACCAAAATGAACATTTTGGCAAAAAAACCTGCTTACCGGTAATTTCAATCAGGTACAGATAATGACAAATTAATCTAAACAAGTCATTGAA